AAAAGAGATTCCATGAATAATTTCATAGTTTGGCAGCCCTTCTCAATGTTCACCTGCACCTCACTTACATCTTATTATCTTAAATATCTATTTAAGTGATATATTTCTTAGTTCTAACAAAATTCATTTTGTTTTATAAAGAATTAAAATTATTAATATATATTTCAGAGGTATTAAAATTAAAGAGTAATAGATAAAGTAAAACTATTTAAAACAAAATAGATAAATTTCCAAGCAATAGATACAGAAATATTTAGAAGTTAAAGAAACAGCAAATAAAAAAAACTAAATAAGACTGGATTACATAAAAAAAGTAAAGCACATAATATGCTCAGCTAAATCCCAATTTTGACTAAAAGCATCCCAGGAAATGGAGTTACAGGTTTTGTACTCTTCTGTTTTTGTCACATAGCTTCTCAATATGAAGAGTAAGGGAGAATAAAAAATTTTGTTATTATTCTTTACATGTTTTATTTTATTTTTTTTTTTATCCTGTTGCAAGTTAATTTCACAATAGGCTTCAACAATGATATGCAGCCCTTTGTATGTAATAAGATCGAAATTTTTGTAAAAAGGATAGCCCTTAACTAGTTTATTCTCTACACAGCAGTGATGCCAATAAACCATACCTCCTTGGGATTTCAAAACACTTTGTGTTATGAGTCAATGATTTAAACTTCTCATGAGCTAAAATTATTTAATTTATATATTAAGTATAGTTCTTCATGTCTATTTTTTTCCTACTACAATCAAGAGCATTAAAAACTACATTTCTGTTCAGAAATTTCATTAGGCTACCTATACAACATGCAATGGAAGAAATTTATGTCAATACATAAGTCATCTGATTCATCAAAAAACAAAAAACAGAGTATGACTTCTGTTTCTACTTTCATGAAATAACTTAACCTAAATATATTTCTTTATACACTAATTTTTTTATATTTCCTGGGATTACTTCATTGGTACAATTGCTTTATTGCCAAATTAAACACCAAATTGATATATTATATCATGAACATATAAGGGCTCTCTAGGGACAGATATAATTATGATATTGTTATGAATTATTAGTACAGTTATTAAAAAATATATTAAAAGACATAAATGAATTTCTTCTAATTCAGAAGAGTGTCTATAATTCTCATATTTCCCCCTTTAATCATATTAAAGCAATTTATGCACATATTTAACAATACAAGTGGTATTAAAAATAAACATCTTCAGCTAAGAAATAAATTAAAAACTAGACTTTTACTCTGTTTAAGTATAATTTTCCACAATACAAATATATTTTAAACCATTTTGAACACTTTCTTTAAAAAATTCATCTAACCACACAGGAAACACTTCTTATAACATGCAGAAGCTTCACATTCTGCATGACTCATGAATTCCTTATACTATTATACGCTGTTTTATTAAGAGCTTCTGAAATATAGTGGGTTTTTGAAATCTTTTTACCATATATATACAGAAATTTATATGGTAGAGTTACTTATTTAACTCATCCATTACCAACATTTTGCTTCATTATTTGAAATTAAATATGTTTAAAATACAGTTAAATATAACTGAAAACATTAGCATATTACAGGCAAAATACTAGTACAGATAATAAATTACAATACATTAAGCAGACAGAGAAAAACTAAAGTCACAAATCAAGCAGGCTCACTTCACAATACATGAAAGAATTCATTAATAAGATTTGCAGAAATAACTTAAAACACAGCAAACAATAAAAATAAACTTTAAAAATATATACACTTTGATTATACATAAAAGTAAACGATGCACAATTTTCACAAATTTAAATATTGCATGTTTTAATCTACTTCAATGCATAAAAAACATGCTAATTAGCACAAAAATGAAAGAATATGAATTTTATGCATGTAGTGTTCTTTTCCGGCCCCTTTTTTAACAAGCAAATATGGAAATGCAGATATATGAGAATTCCATGTTAAGTGATGTAGAAGCAACTCTAATTTTTATTGAATCTAAAATATTAATACAATCCTAGATGAGACATAATTTTACCTAAATTTTCTATTAAAGACATAGGAAAGGCTTTAAAGTAATAATAGAAATTTACTTTTATCTTTAATAGTAAAAAACATGATTTCAGGGATTATGCACAAATATTAATAGTATTAGTTAATACTACTATGAATAAAGTTCCCTCGGCCGCGCATTAATTTTTTTAAAGTTACGCAGCTGTTTTTGGACTTGTTTGATAAACTCAATGGACTTGTTCACTTTATTAAAATTTTATTTCATAAAAGAATTGCATCTAAAATGGCAAAAATTCAAATTTCTCCCCCTCCCTCCAAATAAAAGTAAAATTTAAAGGGTAAAAAAAAATTTTTTTAATTGAGGGTTTAAACCTAGTATACACCACACACGAGACTTGGCGAAGTTCAGAATGCGATAAAGTTTACATTCTGTGACAGCGATTTTAGTGAGTTTTTAGATGGGTTTCTACTTACAGTAAAAATAATGGGTAACTGTTATTTTTTGTCAAGTTGTTGATTATATAGCTATTTTGCATTCGGGCCCATGAATGATTTTAGTTTTATCGATTTATAGCAACTTTTATACAGTGCATATGAGATTTAGCGAAATAGTGAGCACAAAAAATTTTAGTTCCATTGATTTATAAGGACTTTTTACCCTTGGAAGCGTATTTTTTGTTCATGATGGGCAGTGTATTGGATATCAATATTTAAACATGAAATTTTTTTGCAAGTTGAAGCTAGAACGATAATGTGCCATGCTTCAATGGATAATAGATGCAACTTTACTACCAAAGTAAGTTTTGTTTTTTATTTGTTCTGCAGTATGTTAAAAATTACTTTAAATTTCTAAATACTTGCTTTTGTTCTTGAATCTCACTGTGTACTTCCAGTTTTCTCATTTTCAGACTATCATTTAGTTTAGTTTCTGTCAATACAAACTTATGGTAATGCTTCATTTTGCGATTGCCAAAAATTTGATGACAAACATAAACACAACATTTTGGTTTTGCCAACATTTTTCAAAACTGCGCCAAAGCTGTACCATATACTAGGAACATTTAAACGTCAAATGAAATCTCTTTCCTTTACATCAACTACGTCATTGAGCGGTTGTTTGGTTTGCTTTATGTTGAGAGAGGAGTTCATTTTTGTGTTAGTATGGGTACAGCACAGTGTGCCTGGTCGCAATCACATTGTAATGCCATCGAGCGTAACATATAACTAGCCTCCAGTTGTATACTTTTCTTGTTTTATAGTTTCTTTCGAAATACAAATATTGAAGATTTAAAGCAAATTGTTAAATGAAACATGTTCAAACAAAAATTAAATGATGACGAAAATATTAAAAGTAAAAAATCCTGCACGTAATTTAAAAAAGAATGACTTTCAAAGTTAGTGAATGTGAAACTCCACCTTCAAATAAAAAAGAAAATATTCAATTGGGAAATATTTTTAAAATACAATGAAGGAAATGAAAGTTCATATTCCTGTGCTGAAGCAAAAATTTCCAACGAATTTAGTGCAGAACGAAAATAGGATGAATGGAAATTAGATTCTATAAAATGTCACCTAAAGCAAAAAAAAAAAAAAAAAAAAAAGAAGAAGAAGAAGAAGAAGAAGAAGAAGAAAAAAACCTCATTTGGATGCCATAAATAAATTACACAATCTGAAAAAAAGGGGACTTTTAAATATATTGCGAGAAACATCAGAAGAACATAATTTGAAAAAGGAGTGGAGTGAACAATTAAAATTGGATGTCGACTGTGTTAAGTTTTAATAAAAGATGTTATTTTAGCTATAAAAATTAATGCATCAATTAATTTTACACAAGATATTCACAAAACATATAGAACAGTATATATACCAAAAAGTTGGAGTTAAAAATCATGCTTTTGAATGTGCTGAATGCATTAATTCTGTATAGTAAAAATGAAAAGCTGTTTATATACAGAAATAACTTCAAGTAACAATATGCTATCGAAGTACACTATAACTGAAGTACTTTGTGCTTGAGATTATACCTCCCATCTCACTATACCAGTGGTCTCAACCTTTTTTTGCAACAGGCACCTTTTACCACTGCCCTCTCTTATCATTCATTCCCCCTTCTTTCCATACATTTATTTAAATTTAGATTACTTTTCATTGTGTTTTATAAATTATACAAGAAAATGTGAATAAATACCAAAACTTGAATAAAAGTAGTTTTATACATTCATAAACTACACCTGACGAGTAAATAAATGACTGACCACATTCCTCCTGGTTGAGGGCTCTGTACTAGAGAAATATATGTTGAAAGCCACTATAATAGGTTACAGACATATAAGCAGCTCTGCATTTCCATAACAGCTTATCGTACATCTGCTGCAATAGTACAGCTTTAAGATTATTTCTTTTAATTAAAATTAACATTAGAAAATTAGTTCATATAATGAATTATTTTACTGATTTATATATATATATATTACACCAGTATCTCCCATTAAATGAATTCTTTGACTAATATTAGTAAAATTCAGGTAATGGGAATTAGCCTTTTTAATTTTTTTTCAGAAGCCATATTAAGCTTGGATTTTATTTCTGAATATATTTGTTGAGATGCGTATTTCAAAGTGATATCACTATTCAGAAACTCGAAAGTAATATTTTTTCTAAATAACACACAAATAAATATATATGAAACTATAATATTCTATACAAATACTAACTTTGTACTTAAATATTAGAAAATTTCAAACTTTGTTCTGATATATATTCTCACATTAATAATAATAAAAAACTGCAGATATAAAAATTTTGGTCTTTCACACTGAAATCTAAATATAAGCCAACACTACTTTGCAGCTTTCAAAATAACATACATGTGGAAACGTTTTTCAAATTCTTTTCAACATTTTTCATTCTCATACATATTTCAATCATCTCAACTCATCCATATAAAAACATAGTAAACAAAAAATTAACCGATGAAACTACCTTTATAACCTGGAAATGCTTCTATAATACAGCATTGGTTGACACTATCCAGATAAGATGAAAGGAAAGATTCAGGATCAGAAACAGAATGAAATATTTGCATATGTTCAGTAACAGCTGTATCCATAAAACACTTTTTGTAGAAGATGCATTTGTGGCCACATCCAAAGCAATGAAAAACCCATCGAGAGACAATGTATCTTTCTTTCACCACTGGTATATTCTCAGATGCAGGATCATCTGTTTTCAAAGAAATACCAGCTTTCGCATTTTTCGTTCTTTCTTTTAATGCAGGTGAAGTTGGAGATGAGCTATAAAGCAAATTTGTATGTGACACTGATGCAGAATTCAAAGTTTTATTTATTGGATAATATTCAGTTGCATTACTTTTCCCCCCTTTTGTACTTTCATTTAAACGAAAACTATGTGATTCTCGTACAAATTCACACTTTGAAGATGTAACTCCTGAAGGTAGAAGATGATAGGCATGATCATTTTTTATTCCTGTAGAAGACACACTTTTCTTTCTGTTTTCATATCGTCTAAGAGTTAATTTATTTGACTTCAATGTATGTAAAAAATCAGAATAAAAAGGAACATGGATATTTGTACCTTTTACATAATAATCACCATGGTATTCTATCATAAATTGGTTCACATCCCTCAAAAGTACTTTACAGTCAACACAATTATTTTTCTTCTGAAGTATCTGAATCACAGAAAGTTTGGAACCTGGCTTGCAATAACTATTTGAAAAATGAGATTGATATCTCAGAGGCACAGAAGAAATTCTTGATTGTGAAGAGTTTCTAGCATTACTTGAAAGCATAGAATGGTAACTAGTCCTATCTTCAGAAGCTGCCGAATGTGTTTTTATACCGCCAACCACAGATGGTTTTCTTTCTGTGAAATTAGAATTTTTTATTTCAGATAATATACATATCTCATCAGAATCAGGTTCACTAATAGGAGGAATTGGCACTGGCTTCCTTGCAGTCAATGTTTTAATTTCTTCCTTAGTAAGTCTTTTTATGCGAACAAACAACTTTTTTGCTTCGCACAAATCCCTCAATCTTCGACTTCGTTTATCAAGACCTACAAACAGAACAAATATTTTAAAATTTTTGTTTGATTTAAAAATCTGTTTTGATAAGCAGATTAATATATACACACAAATGTTTAAAAAACCAATCATCAGATTAAAAAATTAAACAGTCACATTCACAATAAAATCATAATAAAAAAAAATCTGATACACACACAATCCCCTGTATGGCCTATCACATTATACACATTTTTGCTACATTTCATTTAAACTTATTTCCTTGAATTTTATTAGAGATATATTTCTCATTTCAATTCAGTTCTCACTTCATAGCAAGGCAAAAACACATAAATTTAAAAACATCTTCATTAAAAATTCAAAAGTACGGCGAAACATAAAACACAAAACATAGTTAAAATAATCAATTTTTACAATTTAAATTAAGAGTTTCTATGCAAAAACAAGCAATTTGGCCAGCGGGCAGGAAAACAGATTTTTTGGTGCACAAAATAGAGTTTACTTTTGGTCCCACTCCCTAAAAAAAAACACTGAAGTTGGTGCCAAAAACTGATTTAATTTGCTATTTCTACCAAGAGATCCAAGTGTACACAATGGCGGCTTCATTAGGCTTAAATTCACTTAAACAACTTTTAAATTGTTGATAATTCTACAACTATTGCATGCAGATTAACTAAACCATAAAAATCTTAACCAGAACATAAGAACACAATTCAATCTTTTTAAAGCAAAAAATGCACAACTTACCAACATATAATAATAAAAAATTGAGCTCACCAGGCCGAGTAACAGAGTGGATATATATATATACGAGGGCCATCCGGGAAGTAGATTACGTTTCCGTCTGTGTCCGCTAGGGGCGGGGCTAGCGCGGCCATCTTGGGGTCAGAGCGTTGCACAGCTCAGTCTGCATCTAGCCGTGCTAGTGAGAGGTTCGTGCTGTGCTCCGTTCAGATACCGTGACGGTTTGAAATGTCTGCGTTAATTGAAAGTCCCGTGAGCTGCGAGGTGCGCTCAGTAATAAGGTTTCTGACTGCAAAAAACTGTAAACCGATAGAAATCTATCGGCAGCTTCGTGAAGTGTATGGGGACAACATTATCACTGAAGGTGGAGTGCGTCAGTGGGTCATAAGATTTCAAAATGGCCGAACCAATGTTCACGACGAAGATCGAAGTGGGAGACCCAGCATACTGACCGCCGAACTTCTCGAAAAAAAAGTCGATGCTAAAGTCCGTGAAAATCGAAATTTCACAATAACGGAACTTTCTTTGAGTTTTCCTTCCACAAATTTTCGCGAAGTTTGTTGCACGAAATCATCAGCGAAAAGCTTGGTTACCACAAGTTTTGTGTGCAAGATGGAAGGCAACGAAGTGGTTGAAGGCGCAGGCGGCCGAATTTTTCGACGAAGGAATTTCCAAGCTCGTACATCGCTACGATAAATGCCTTAATTTGTATGGTGACTATGTAGAAAAGTAGTATTTGAGTGTGGCTTTCATCTGTATATAATAAAATTTGTTTCCTATACTTTGTTTATTTTTTTATTCCAAAACGTAATCTACTTTCTGGATAGCCCTCGTATATATAACAGACAGATGTTATGAAAAAATTTCTTCTGAATCCATTTTGGAAAAAAAGTTGTACAGATGTCACCCCAAAACATTGTTCAAATAAATTTGACAGACAGATGTTATGAAAAAATGTCTCCTGAATCCATTTTATAATCCATTTTGGAAAAAAGTTCTTTATTCAGTACGTACAGATGTCACCCCAAAACACTGTTCAAATGAATTTGAGAGCGGTTAAAATGGATCTTTTCATTTAAATACGAATTTTTAGCAATTACAATACTTCCTTTACTTTGTAAAAGAAAGTAAAATGGAGATATATAAAATATTAAGCAGCTCTTTCCCATTGTTCAAAAGTAAACTCTAAAAAATCTTTTGTATCCTAAAACAGGATAAAGCAAAGAAGCAATTACCATTAATGAACATACTGTTTTTTTAACTATAGCCACATTCCAATGTAACCTATGAAAATCACATCTAACATATAACAAATACTGATTCAGAAGTCAAACAACAAAAATCAGCGTTAATTCACAAAATTAAAATTTTGTGAATTAACGCTGATTTTTGTTGTTTGACTTCTGAATCAGTATTTATTCGGCGTGTTATTGTGTCTTAATTATATAACAAATATCCAAAACAATGCATAATAAAAGTAGAAATGAATAAATAATAAAGGTTTAGTGTATAAAAATGAGAATGTAGGACAGTGATTTCAAATTCAAATTGCAAATGAAAAGAGCTGATCAGCCCCCTTTTTTAAATCTAAAATGAAAAATTTTTATAATGAAACTAACTATATTAGTTTTCTCCCCTAAATATGTAGTAAATTATACATGAATTGTAATAATAATGGCACTAATGGAAAAGTTGTAATTTCTATTTATTTTTTGATTGAAATCTAAAGGTACGCCTGTAAAACATTTCTGAAAGTTATACCGATATCTAAATACTAAACATACGATACTTTTCCAAATGACATTTGCTTCAAATAATTCTAATATGTTGAATAAAGCACTAAATAACTTCTAATTTAAACTAAAAATGAACGAATTATGAAAAATTCTAAAAGGAACAAAACTTATTTATAAAAATTTTCTTGGGTGCATGCAGGAAAAATGCACATATTTACACCACCACCACATGAAGTTTTGATTTTGATAAAGTTTGCAATTTTGGTGAAAATTACCAGAAACTACCTTAATCATGAATTATAAATACTTATGGATTTTCTGGTTTCTTTTTAGAACTTAATTTACAACTGAAAAAAATTATGTTCATATATCAGTTATTAATTGATAAAATATTTGATAGAATAATTTGTTACTGAGTGTACTTATCTTTCAGCAAGTACAAAATAAATAAACAAATAAAATTTTGATCTTCAAATCTTCGAAAAAGCTTTACATCACTGTGCAAATAATTAACTCCATGTAGATTTTCTGGATCATTAATCATATTTTTTTAATCATAATGAAAATAATATAAATTTGGATTCAATATCATTAAAATCATAAACCTTTCGAATTGTGGTTCATAATAATCAATGCCATGATAATGCTACTTAGTTTACAGGAAATTTATTAGCAGGATGTGGAAAATTACCGAGTGCCACACGCGGGCCACCAGTTTGGGACCAGTAATGCAGGCAAATCTAGTTTTATCATTCAGGATAGCAAATAACCTTGAAATATGACAGTACAGTTGATACAGTCAAAAGTCGTTAATCCGGACTCGTCGGGACTTCGGATTATACATCATCAGTTTAAATCTGGTAAGATCGCACGCAGAAATTATAAAATTAAAAATATGAAACCGTAATTTCTGAAATAAATTATGATCTAAAGAGTATCAAAATTTACAAAAAAAAAAAAGAGCTTAATATTTATTTGTTTACTTTATTAAACATTGCTTTCAATGTAAGTAGTTTAAGTTGCTTCGTTTAATGTGATAATACTTTCTCTTTAATTCTATAAACAAATTTAATTTCTTGTTCGGTTACACAGTTCCGCTGTTCAAGTCCTATAATTGCTGTGTCGAGAATATTGACTAATTTGTCAATCGAAATTTTTTCGCTCTCAATAACCTCTGTATCACCATCTTCACTATCGGAAGCGAATTACAATGACGAGGAATTTGATTTAAATCATATCAAAGACTGAGTATATCGAGATGAAATACTACATTTAGTAAGGAATTATAAGCAAAATAAAATAAAAACATCTGCCCTGAAGATAAGGATAGTGCTGACAGATCAACTTCCAATTCATTGTGCGCCGTGGCGTTTCCCCCCCTTGCCGCAGAGCAGCGTGAAATTGATAAACAGATTTCGGAATGGTTAGAGAAACAAAGGATATGCCTTTATCCATTTTTTGCAGCAATTCCACTTTTTGTTTGATTGACATCGAAACATACTTTCGCTTTGTAGATCCTTTACCTATTAGTAGATCCAGCATCGGAAATTCTATTTGACATAATCGAAAGTTCAAGCTTACTTTTATAAAATTGCTCTAACAGTCTGAAAAAATAATAAGCCAGATCCAATTCGAAGATTAAGGAACAACACAATCTGCAACATTAACTGAAATAGATAATTAGATAATTTTAGCTTATACCGTTCGTTACACATTAAACGCGCATGTGTAAACGTATTATGTGCATGCGCACACGCATATGCGCAGCCATAAAGGTCTTACGTGCATGCGTAAACGCCTATGCGCATGCGTCAACGCGACACATGCGCAGAAAGTTTGTAGCTTTGAGGTCTGGATAATGGGTGTCCAAATTAACGACTTTTGACAGTACTAGATTTAAGCATTTTTCTATCGTATGGTTTCTTAAGAGGCACAAACTTCAGGGGAGATGAAAAAAAGAACAGCTTTTCGTTCCTGCAACTGCTGCAGAAAAAGCACCAAAATGTTATTCACACTTTATGCTTTTTTTCATAATGGTAAATATTCTCTTCTAACTTCTCCAATATTAAAAAAAAAAGGTAAGCAGAATCCTGTTGTAAAAAACTGAATACAGTCAAAAGTCGTTAATTCGGACACCCATAATCCGGACCTCAAAGCTACAAACTTTCTGCGCATGCGTCGTGTTGACAAGACCTTTACGGCATGCAAGACCTTTACGGCTGCGAATTTGCGTGAGCGCGTGCGCAAAATACGTTTACGAATGCGCGTTTAATGTATAACGGACGGTAATTAGCTAAGCTAAAATTATCTAATTATCTATTTCAGTTAATGTTGCAGATTGCGTTGTTCCTTAATCTTCGAATTGGATACGGCTTATTATTTTTTGCAGACTGTTAGAGCAATTTTATAAAAGTAAGCTTGAACTTTCGATTATTTCAAATAGAATTTCCGATATATATTTACTAATATGTAAAGGATATACAAATCGAAAGTATCTTTTGGAGTCCATTAAACAAAAAGTGGAATTGCTGCAAAAAATGGATAAAGGCATA